CTGGGGGACAGGGATTGGTTTTATTGACTGAGTCTCTTTTGCCTGTGGGTAACAGCAAAGCTGGCTCTTTCTCTGTGATTGTGAAGTTAACTGGCTTCTGCCGTGCTGTCAAGTAGATATGCCTGCATCAGAAATTATTGCTTTTGCCTGCTGTGAGGCTTGCAATGTGTCTCATTAAATGTTTTCAGCTGCTGCTAAGCATTAAGGTGACTGATAATTTACCAGGTATTGAGGATCCTCTCTGTTTTCAAAGAGAAAGCTGCCTTTATTCAGTATTTCTACGCTTGGTGAATTTGGTGTAACTTTCATCCAGTGTGAAACTTTAAGTGAACTGTAAAGCTAAAATAGATCTTGTGTAAGTAGGAAGCAGATGTTCTGGGGTGGGAATATATTATCAAGTAATGCTATATATGACTATTTTATAATCTGTTAGTTCAATCCCAGAATCCCAGATGGTTTGTGTTGGAAAGGGCCTCAAAGCTCCTCCAGTCCCAATCCCTGCCACGGGCAGGGACACCTTCCACTAGAGCAGGTTGCTCCAAGCCCCTGTGTCCAACCTGGCCTTGAACACTGCCAGGGATGGGGCAGCCACAGCTTCTCTGGGCACCCTGTGCCAGCGCCTCAGCACCCTCACAGGGAAGAGCTTCTGCCTTATATCATGATCACTTGAGTTGAAGCATCCAAGTGATTTATTTAGTGAAACCAACCATTATGGACAGGCCAGCATGGACTGGGAATGAGAGGCTGCCTTAGATGTCTCCTCTGGGGAGAAAAAGAAGGAAGAGAGTCATTTTATGTGCATCAGATGGGGGATAAGAGGGGAGGCTGCTGGCCACTGACCATCTTGCCTTCTTGCCCCAGTGCTGGCTTCATCGCAGGAGCCAAAACCACTCCTGGCCTTATTCACACCAGATCTTGTGTTTTGCTACCAAAAGCCCTTTTGTGGGGTTACTGGTGGTGAGCCAGGCAGACAGCAGAAGCCGTGTATGTAGGTATGGGACTCAAACTCAGGTTTTGGCATTTCCTATCCACCTTCAGACTGAGGGGCAAGGCAAGGGAGCACACTGCACATGTCCTGCCCGGCGAGCTCAGGGCTGTGACCTGGGATGCTGGAGGGAGCATTCATCTTCCAGCTGGTTTGAGCTCAGATCCTTCCCTTGACCCCATCAGACACATCTGTGGTGAAAACCAACAGGCTTCAACCCCTGGCGAGTGATGAATGTGTAAAATTACCCTGGGTTTAGATAAGATGGGAACTTGATTTCTCTTTCAAGAGCACATCAAGCTGGCAGTGTAAGCTTTTTTCCCTTTTACCTCAGGGTAAACTGCCAGGGTTTGTCCTCATTAAGAGGGTAAATGCACCGAACACAGCTCCATTCATTTCAAAGGCCGCCTGGTTGGCAAGAGCCAGACCAGTTCCTTTTGATATCCTAAAACCTAAGTGCAAGGTTGGATTATGTTGCATCCTCTCTTTTTAATTTTATCTCTCTTTTTTTCTCTTCCTCTGGTAGAAGTGGCTCTAACCCAGATGCACAACCCCTTCTGCTGAGGTTTTGCTTCAGTAAATGGATACCTGAATGGTTTGGCTTCCTGTGTGTTCATCCCATGTGTTTTCCTGCCAGGATCAGCCCTGTCCTGGACATGGGTAATTCCAGAGATCTTTTATTGGGTAATTCCAGAATCTTGTATTTTGTAATTGAATTACAAAGCAGGTGCTTCTAAATCCAGGCAGTTACCTGAGAACTGACCTCTTTGTGGCCTCATTCTAAGATATAACTATTCCTGTGACACACAGCGCATCGCTACAACTTCACAGGGCTGTTGTGGGGGGAAATAGAGGCAGAAAAGTTTGTGGCCATCTTCTGCATTCACTTCTCAGTGCGTTGTCCCACTTGTCTCTCCTGGCTGCTTTCCTCGTGCTGAGTTAATCCCTGCAGGGATGTGTGGCCATTCCTTGGGGTACTGAGTACTTGGTACCATGGGAGCCTGCTGCCTTCCTCGGCCTCATTGCTGCCTGCTCAACTCCAAACTGACACCACTGCATGAAGCAGAAAGGGTGTAGCATAGGGCAGAGGGGGTCATTTTGAGCTTGAAAAGAAGAGTTTTTAACTTCAAATAAAACATTGAGACTAGGAATATCAAGGTTAGTCATATACAACTTGACTATTTAAATTTGGGGGGTTCTTTGCATTACAGTGATTTTGTTTGTGGTTCACATCAAAGCAGGTAAGCTCACACACTGCAGTGACTGTCCAGTGACATGTGTCTCTGCCACTTTGCAGCCATATATAGAATCATGGAATAGTTTGGGTTGGAAGGGACCTTCAGAGGTCATCTAATTCCAACCCCTTGCAATGAGCAGGGACATCTTCAACTAGATCAGCAGGTGACCATAAGGTCTCTTGAGACTTCCAGGCTGATTTTTAACAGAGCCATGTGGTTTAAACAGGCACATTAATGTCATAATGGGGCTTTCTTCCAGCTTTTTTACGGCAATAGAAATCCCTAGGCAATAGTAACCCACTGTTTTCAAAGCAGGACCCCTTGCTCCTTGGTATTACTCTATTGCGATGACTTCGTTTCTCTGCGAGCAAGTGCCTGATGTCAGTGTAACTGTGTTGTGATGGATGCTGGCCGAGTACAACACTGACAGATGCGTGCTGAAATGGTGTGAAAACGTTTGCAGCCAAAGCAAAGCTGGCAAAGGTTTCGCTTTCCACCAGCTTAGCTGGTGGGTGCGCAGTATACGATGGTTCAACTGCGATGCTCACAGCACTGACAAGCACTATAAGCATAGTTCTTATCAGCAGTGGCAAACAACTTCTCTCGTTTTCTTGACCTCTATGCCACCACTCAACTCTTAGAAACCCTTTCTTTTTCCTCTTCCCCACCCCTCATCGTACTTTTAGGCAATGCTTAAGCAGGATGGAAGAGCTTTGATGCCTTGATTCCTTTGAAAGAGCGCAGCTGCGTAAAGTATTGAGCACTTTAATCCAGAAACTTTATTTTTGGACATAAATAGTGAGAAGTCACCTCTTTATCTTCTCACCCCCTCTTCAGAAGTGCTTTTTTTGCTGTATGAGCACTTCTTGCATCAAAGGACGTCTATCAGATACTACCATGAAAAACACATTGAAGGAAAATGACACAGTAAAAACTGCTCCCTGAGCTGCAGAGGTGAACAGCAAAGGAGCAGGAGATGCTGGACACCCTTTGGAACAGTGCAGTTCTCCTGGGACATGTACACTGCGTGTGACTTCTACACAATGGCATCCGCCCCAAGGTCATATTTGTCTGCTGACTTCCCCGTGGGGACACAGGAAGGGAGCTCCCCACCTCTGTGCGCTTCTACAGTTGTGTGTCTTTGTGTCCATGTTAAATACTGGGAGAGGAGACATTAAACACAGAGGAGGCCCCGGAGCTGCTGCGAGGGCTGGAGCAGCTCTGCTCTGGAGCCAGGCTGAGAGAGCTGGGCTGGGGCAGCTGGAGAAGAGAAGGCTCCTCAAGGGGACACCTTAGAGCAGCTCCAGTGCCTAAAGGGGCTCCAGGAGACCTGGAGAGGGGCTTTGGACAAGGGATGGAGGGACAGGACAAGGAGAATGGCTTTAACCTGCCAGAGGGAGACTGAGACGAGCTCTTGGGCAGAAGCTCTTCCCTGTGAGGGTGCTGAGGCGCTGGCACAGGGTGCCCAGAGAAGCTGTGGCTGCCCCATCCCTGGCAGTGTTCAAGGCCAGGTTGGACACAGGGGTTTGGAGCAACCTGCTCTAGTGGAAGGTGTCCCTGCCCGGGGCAGGGGTTGGAACTGGAGGAGCTTTAATGTCCTTTCCAACACAACCAGGCTGGCTTTCCATGATACTAACTAAACTGGGTATAGGGATGTTACTGGTCATAAATCATCACTAATAAAGCCCACTATTTGGCTTTTGTCTTGGGGCAAAACTTTGGTCTGGTGTAGTGGGTGGGAAGCAGATGGCCACCCTCGCTTAAGGTGCAGCTTTGCCATTTGCTGTTCACAGTAATCAAGGGTTTAAAATAGCTGGAAACAAGGTTTTGCTGATGTTTCACAAAGTAATAACTTGCAGCTATAGGGCTCCTGTTGTCTCTTCTTTAGGTCACAGCACATCCCCTTGCTACCCCAGACTTGGGCGGAAGCACTGAGCAAAGGAAGCGTGGGACAGGGTCTGTGCTGCCACTGTTGGGAGGTTTGATGTGAAGGTGACAGACCACAGGTGACTTTGTTCGAGTGCTCACACTCCTGCTCATGATCAAGGGCCTGCAATCCTGCCTGCAGACACCAGGGCAATGCCATAGGGACCATCAGGAGAAGATTCCTGAGGACAGTTGCAAGACAAAATGAGGCAGCAATACCTTGGTGACCATGTCTTACCATCCACAGAGTTCCTGATGTTTGCACTGTTTCTGCCCCTTGAGATCCCAAATTACATACACAACCCAAACAATGACTCTGTCCTTCCCATTCGAACACAAAAGGCAAAGCAGAAGCACATTCATGGTGTGCTGGTGTTGGTGCATCCCTGCAGAGCGCCACAGTAGCCACCACAGATCTGGTCCAGAGAGATCCAGAAGGCAGAGGTGGGAACCCAACCCTCTGTGCTGCATGGGCAAGAGGGCAGCAGTCCTCTTGGAAAGGTGGCAGCAGTGGTACAGAGAGGAGGAACCCTTCCAGGAATGTTTTCACAGTGATCTCTCTGAGGAATGGCAGGTCCATAAGGTGCGTGAGGTCCATCCCTATGGGAAAGCGCTGGCATCGTGCCCTGTGGGCCATAACTACTTAGAGGTTTAAGCAGCTGTTTAGCAATGACACTTGTAAATATTACACTAATACCCAGCACAAGGATAAAATAAAATTGCATTGAAGACACAATGAACTGTTTTGTTAATCGAAGTATACACACAATTCAGTCTGAATGGAAAGGATCAGCCACGATTGTCCACGTTAAATAGTCATTTTCCTTTACAGCCTCTTTTCAGTGGTATCCCTAAAACAGAATGACATCTTTTGGTGCATTTTCAATGGGTCTTTCCTGTTCTTTCTTCTTAGAATACCTTGCGTGGTCATAGAAGTATATGATGACGATAGAAGCAATGTTCAGAAAGATGATGAGCAGCATGATCCAGTATGAATATCCATATGTGTGTTCAGATCTTGTATGTGTCTGCAGAAAAGAAAAGCATCCTTGGGCCAATTCAACAGACAGGCTGTTTTCTTCTATGCTCACAGGGAAAAGTATCATGGCTATAAGTGTGAAGATTCCTGGAAAACATAAATACAAACGTTAGAGGTGAAGCTGTAGTACTACTTATGAAGCTGCTTATAAACAGTCTGCTTAAAGTGGTCAGAATACCTGCAGCGGGACATAGATTAATCTCGTATTTTCTATTAGTAAAATAGGAGGGCATTTAAAGAACTTTTGTCTCACTAAATAGTAACTACCAGGTGTTTTTACACTGGCAACTATAATTTCTGCTAAAATGAATGGATTCTTGCTGACTATTCTTAGATAAGGCCATTTAATGTAAGTGTTTTCCACTGAATTTAGGGCTGAAGAGTACAATATATTCACCCCTTGGGTGATTTCCAGAATGCCTATTTGACAAGGGTCCAAATTCATGGAGTGTGTAGTATCACAACTGGATAAACGCTGAGCAACCTGGTCTGTGTCCAGAGGTGGCCCAGCTTTACTCAAGAGCTTAAACTTAGAGACCTCATGTTCTTCCCAACCCAAATTGTTTAATGACTCTGTGATAAGCCATAATGAGATGCAACCTGCTCTAGTGGAAGGTGTCCTTGCCCATGGCAGGAGGATGGAACTGGATGAGCTTTAAGCTCCTTTCCAACACAAACCAGTCTGGGATTCTATGTTCTGGATCTACCTCTTATAGCCTTCTGAATATCTTGTGTGGCCATAGAAATATATGATAATGATAGAAGTTGGGTAGTAGCTTTGAAGTTTATCTAAATAATGCTTTTACATCTCTGCTTTCATGTTGCGGGTAAAACCTCTGAACATTGGTGAAAATACGTGTATTCCTTCCCCTCCAGGTTCACCTTCCTACACATGTTCATGCTGAAACAGGTTCAGGTTTTTCGTTCAGGAGGACGCTGGACTTTCATTTCGTCTGGCGGGAGAATTAGGAACCTCCAAGATAAACTCACCCATCAAATGATGCGTGAATTCTTATAAAGATGTGCTCAGGGAAAAATAGGCTTCCAGGTCACAGCACTTACAGAGCAGTACAAAGTAACCACAATCCTCAGTCAACACGTTTGGGGGTTTACTTTTGCACTAATATTTCTTTTAGCATGCCCATGGTCCTTTAATTTCAGGTCAAAGCTTGCAGGTTCAGGCTGTGTGATGGGTGCTGGGCTTGGGAAATGAGCGACTTTCTCATCTGCTTGTGTCAAAAGTTGAATAACTGTGAATAAACCCAGACTTTTCCTCGCTTTTCTCCCTGTGCTTCAAGGCATCCACAGCCGTTTCAGCATCTGTCGTTGTATGCTGTGTTAGCCATGGCTGGAGTAAGAGGGTTTGGCTTCACACCCCCACCTGCACTTGCTGTGATTAAGACTTTTACATTTATCTTTATGATTCCTTCTCACCAAGGTGTGATTTTGGCAAAGGCAGCTCAGAGTGTGGTCCCAGGGCAGGATGATGCTCAAAGGAGAACAAGCTCCAGCTCCACCAGCAAAGCATCTTCAGACCTGAATAGCTTCTGAAGGACAGAATATTCATACTGAAGTACTCTGTGATCAGATGTCTCCAGAGAAAATCTTCTAAGTGTGAACCTACTATTAGAGGAACACATAATCCTCTTGAGACAAACTGAGTGTGAGAGCTGGAGTCATTACCATAGCATGATGAAGAGGGTAGAAGGCATGTTGGGAGCATTCCTGGGTGAATGAGGGGTTACACCTCCAGGGACCTATGTTCACGTCTCTAATAGCTCTGTGTCTCCACCTTTTATTTTCTCTGCTCGGGGAGTGTTAAAGCTGATTTTGATCTGTGAAAGTGTTCTTTTAGAGAAGGAAATAAATTTTAACATGACTCAGTTAACTGCCACCTCCCAATGTTAATGCTGCTGTGGATGTATTTGATTCAACACATGTTTCAGAAATGGAGCTAAAGTCCACCCTATAGATTAGACCTTAAAGGCTGGATTTGGTGTGTAGGTAACCCAGCAACAAGTATACCATAAAATAGTGACAAGGTCTTAAAGAGGTTACAGACTGCACTGTAATCACATCCAGTGCACGCTTTTACAGCTTCATTTTGGTAGCTTCTTCTTCTTCTCAGCGTGCATCATGCATTAAATGATGCTGTACCTGTTGAGGATTTTTTATTTCCATTTTTGCTGCTGGTGAACCCAGACTCCTGCTGATTGATGGTGTCACTTCAAGTAAATAATACTATTTTACTGATACTTAAAAGATAGTTTTCAGATATCCCAGCAGACAGTTAAAAACCAAACCCAAATGAACAGAATACTTTTCCAAGCGCTTCCCTTTACAGATATATATATAGAGATAGATATTTATTAATCTTGGAATCAATGACAATTCAGCATTCATCTGTATAGTGGGCAGAAAGCGGTCAGCATGGGACACGTTACTCACCACATAAGGAATTCCAGGTATAGACTCCAATGGGTCCCAGAAATGTCTGGTAGGGATTACTGACAGTGTTAGTGCAGGTAAATCCAGAGCTCAGGAGGGAACTCAGTAAACTGAGGACCAAGATCACAATAATAGCAGTGATCATGCTTTTGGCACTGGTGGTGCTCAGGTTATCTGCAACTGAAATACAATGGATTAGCATTGATAATCTAACTCCTAGCACAGTCTGGTGGGCTCAGAAGACCTGATGGCTTACTGACATGGTGGTAATTAAAAGCTAATAACAGTGATTTGTCTGATCTTCAGGGATTAGGATGTAGAAGGAATAGCAGGTTTGGACATAGCACATGAACCCAAATCCATAATGGGGTGAAAGTACATTAGGATGAAATAAGCGTATGGCTGATAATCCTGCAGGCACACAAACTTCCTGGGCATCGGGTTGGGTAGAAAACTTCTCTTCCTTAATACCTCTGCAAAGGTTTCCTCTTAACATGGGCAGACAGAAATCTTACGCCTAAATCAGATCAGAAAACTAGGTGTTCCTCTGCCCATCGTTCCTGAGACACCTGGTAACTTTTACAGATGCCTATTTAAAGCTTGGCTCCAATTGTAGTTTATATCCTTTTAATATAGAGGCAGTCCCCCTCATACGGAATGAATCTGACAGAAGGAACAGCTTCTAAAAGTCCAATGAAGCCTTTAGCCTGAATTCGTAGGACAAGCATAACTAAGCACGGTCAAGGCCAGGTTGGACAGATGAGGCATGGTGGAGCTGGTGTTAGCATCCTGACTAGGTATGTGTCTCTCCATGTCCTGCAGAAAAAGAATAGGTGGAGGTGGTATTTACTCCATTCTTTAAAAAGAAAGGAGCAACTCCTGTTTGGTTTTCACCAGGAGGACTGTGGCTCCCAAGGGGCTGATGGCTCTGGACTTGGCGCTGGGTGGATGTAGGCTCAACAGTGAATACACGTATATTATAGCCTGCTGTAGTTTCCGTAGCTATATGTGTGGATGGCCATACATATACATATATATA